TACAGATGGTATCCTACAGATGGTATCCTACAGATGGTATCTCCAGTTCCCGCGGCACTCCTCCAATCAAAGGATGCAGGAGTGGCCAGAAGTGTTCTTTGTCAATCACTTCATCTTGAGTTCAATCCTGCACTTTGTTTACACGGCGACCGGTTGTAGGAACCCGGCTCAATCAAACAGTTTTTTTTATCGGTGGCTAACGTATGGCCGTCGATCATGCGGCTATAGAACGGCTAAAAATTTTTGATAGGGATAAGCGTAGAGTCTCAAGTGCAAACAATACAAGAATCTATAATTCTGGGGACTCTGATGGGGACTCTGGGGAACTCTGGGGGACTTTGAGAGTTTCTGGGGGTTCTAGTGGCCTCTAGAAAACTCTGGGGGACTCTAGAAAACTATGGTGGACTCTAGAAAACTCTGAGGGACTTTAAGGGAATTAGGGAAACTTTGGGGAACTCTGGGAGAACTCCTTGGGAAGTCTGGGGAATCTGGAGGAACTCTTGGGAATTCTGGGGGAACTCTATGGAACTCTGGGGGACTCTACTTGAGTACCATACATTCAAGGTTCATCACCACAGCATTTAAGATTAATTCAGCCGATTTGTTACGAGTTCATAGTCATGTATTGTTTCGCTAAATGTTTTGCAGTTAAGTATTGTAAAGCAATACAATATCCCCACAATGACCCCTTATTACATAACTAAATGTATTGCAGTTTAGTATTGTAAAGCAATACCCTACAATATCCGCATAATTACCCCTTTTAACATAACTAAATGTATTGCAGTTGAGTATTGTAAAGCAATACAATATCCGTATACAATGACACCCGATAACATCAGCAGGGCATTGTGAGGCTGAAGTCGTTCATTGTATGCAACGAAGACATAATATGTCAACAATCTGGACAAACAACTGCATAACGTAAAAGTAAGTGTTGAAATAATGTAATTGAAATAATGAAATGTGATGAATGTAGCACGTTCAAGCAATGTATTTTCAGCGTGTCGGTAAAATTACTCAAATTATGCTGACATGTTATGAACGGATAGACGTGTCAATGACACGTTGAACGGTTGATCACGCTCATGATGTCAAGTTGAATGGATGAATAGGTTCATGCCAATACCCTTCAGTAACTTGGAGGCCATTACTTATCAGCTCCATGCATGCTAATACTCTTCAGTCACATGCAGACCAATACTTCTCAATCACGTCACTACTCTTACCAGAGTGTCACGGAATAAATGATAACAAATTCGTATCTTAATAAACACTAAACATATTCGTCTGTTATTCGGAGTTTCCTGCAAAAATTGTACATTTTCCTCCATTTTCAAGGTTAGGTTTACGTCTTGAAGCTGCGTGGCTTTCGTTTGCCCCCAGTTCTACGTATACGTGTACGTACGTATGACTGTACGTAAGTGTACATGTACGTATGTCTGTACGTACGTATCGTACGTCTGTCCATTATCAGAGAATGTCTCGGTTCCCCCCTTTTCTCTCATTACTCCAAGTCTCCCTGGGGAAGCAGGGGAGAATGCGGGAGATGAGCAAGAGGCCGACAACTTCGAAAAGCCCTCCAAGAAAACAGGTTAGGGGGACCGGCCGCTAAGATGGCTGGCGTCTGGTGGCGTGAAATGTTATACATTTCATACAACTCATCGTGAATTAAGTACATTCATATTCTTCGAACCTATGTACTTTTCTCAAAACAAGTATTTATTTTTAAAACCATTTTATAAATTTCAATCATACTCTTAAATCTTTTTAATTCTTTAAATAATATAAGGTAATAATTCACACAGTTGAAAAATAAGTATTCTTTTCTTTGCTCGATTATTTTCGTTAATCAATGTAAATAAATGCCAATATTTAATTCTTAACTATTTTTATAAACGAATTGTATTGCATTTCATGCATTTATTTGTAACCAATATTTTCAACTATCGTCAAAATCTATAAGTTGTTAATTAATTTTAATGCTGAATGACTGGTTAGCTTCGTTAAGAGCATTTCACACACTTTCATATTTCCCCAAGGGGACACTCCAGGGATCAATTCCCCAGACTGGGGAGTACACCAAACCAAATTCTTGATAGTGTGCGAGAGAAAATAAAAGATAAAAAGGGGAATGGTTTGGGGATTCAGTAATAGCGAGGAGTGTGATAAGTAGGGTATGAAAGTGGGAGTGGGGCCTGTAGAGGATGAGAAGAATGGGGAGTGTAAAGGATAGAAAATGGGGACTGTTGAAGAGGGAAAATGGGGAGTGATGAGGAGGGAAAAATAGAGAGTGTTGAAGAGGAAAAATGGAGAGTATTGAGGAGGGAAAAATGGGGAGTGTAGAGGAGGGGAAGTAGGGGAGTGTAGAGGAGGGAAAAATGGGGAGTGTTGAGGAGGGGAAGAATAGGGAGTATAGAAGAGGAAAGAGTGCGGAGTATATATGTGGGGAAGAGTAAGGAAGCTTCTGGCAAACCCCAACACACTCTGGGCTTAACAAAATAAAGTCTTCCCCAACCTCGTCGATAATTCCCCACGGACGCAACAACAGCGCACACCGAGCGACACGCGCAGTGCACACTCACAGAAATGAGTGAGACTTTGTCCAAATAGCGAGGAACTTTTTTACTTGTGTGGGTCATCCTGACCCAGTTTAGCCCGGCCTGAAGGGCGTATCAGTGCTACGCTCGTTCCGTGCTCGAGCTGAAGGTAAGAAAGGGACGCCATCTGGACATTAAGACTTGTTTGTTATTCTGAGTTATGCTTGGAATTGTTCAACTATTGTCCATTGAGTTGACAAGGAATTGACAATTATTGTCCAGTAGTGTCGGTGGTGCGAAGTTCTTCTTTAAAGAGATCCGAGGGCGCTTAACTTCCCTCAGGACGTGGTCATCACAACCTCGATGTGAACGCGCGAACAAAACGTAAAAAAAATCTATGTGCGCATTCGCACCAAGTGAGTGAGAACATGCGTAAAGTGGATTTATTCCTGCGTACGAAACATGCGTATAACGGATTCACCAAGTCCACGAAGCGCCCGGTGCGTAAGCCGTTTCTTTGGCTGCGTATTTTTACGCACGCTTCTCCCCTCGCCGCCATTATCGCATTATCTTCTTACTAAAGCATTTTACTAGCGATACCAACCACGCTTTGACCGCAGCGATAAATGCCCGGAACGCGCGGTAATACCTGGTATTTGTTTGAAATCAATGAAGTCGTGGAGTGTGAGTATTATATTGCATTCAAGTATAACACGCCATACATGTATAATACTCCATATACATGAATTATTCTTCACATAAGTATAATACAAGTGATGCATGTTCATCCGTAGATATGAACTCTCGGTTTCGTGCGCCTTATGTAGGAAACGAGCATCTTTATTAAGCAATTAAAAATTTTCTCGGTAAACAATAAATATGCATTTTTAGCATTAATCATTCTGAATAATATTCTATTTGCATTTTTCTATTAATTTATATATAATATAAAATTTATTACAAATTATCTTAATACTTCGACACTTAATTAGTCAAATTATGAGCTCTGGAGACAAGACAGCAGAAGACAAGAGTGTCAATTATGGCATAAAAGGTAATTATCGCACATAATCTCCACTTCTCTTCGCAATGGACACCCACAGCGCTAAGGGGAATCAAGTTAGCGAACTCCCGCTGCCACGTCGTCAATCATGGAGCAATGCGGCCAATTACGGCATTAGCCCACCAGGTGGCGCCCTCGTCGCGTATTGGATTTGTCGCGTAGTTGGATGTCTTCATGAGACGACATGCTATGTGATCAGAGCCTCGACTGCTCAAAAAGGCGGAACTGATCGAGCTAATTTCAGGAGGGGGTTAAAATCTGAGAGGATCTGTGAACTTTTTTTCATATTTTATGCCGAGAATTTTATTTTGCATAGGGATCGCTACGTAGGAAATAAATTAAGGGCATAGGAAAATTTAATCATTGAGTGTAGATTCCATACTAGATCAGTAGAAGCAGCTTAAAATAGTTATCATTATAATGGCGATCACGCCTTACTTTGAACATTGTACATGCAATCGCGCTGACTGAATCACAAATCAAGTAAATAATAATAATAATAATAAATCATAATAATAATCTGGGAAATTCCAGCTACGGGATGACATGAACTCTTCGCTTCTCTTTATTTTGGTATTTAAGGTCTTCTCCGATGGGAAAAATAAAGGTGGAGTGAATATTTGTAGGCGAATTGTAAATTTTTCAAATGTTGGGCATGTCTAAAATGTTACATATGTTGAAAATGTTGGAAATGTGAAACATTTCGAAGATGTCTGACATGTTGGAAATGGTGGGTATCTTGGGCATGTTGGTATCTTGGGTATGTTGGAAATGCTAGTATCTTGGGTATTTTGGAAATGTTGGTATCTTGGTATGTTGGAAATGTTGGTATCTTGGGTATGTTGGAAGTTTTGAGTACGTTGAGTGGGTAAGAATTGTTGAAAATCTTGGACACGTTAAACAATACATTCGCGTCGCTCGCAGCTCAGGATATCGATCACCATAAGCCAAATTGCTGACAAATTTTCTTGTGCGTAAGCGAAATAGAATCGCGCGTAAAATTTAACTGCGGATTTCGCATTAAGACTTCGCAGTCCAAGACAGAAAATTATCAACGAGTTATCAACGGAAAAAATGGCCAAAGAAAAACCGCCGATAGAGTTGTTTATATATTAAGATAATATAGTTGTTTATCATTAAGATAAACAACTATATTGTTTAATTTGTTTATTATATAATACTTTTCGAAAAATATTTTCAAAATCACTTTAAGCGTAAATAAAGTTTCATCTAGTATATATTACTTCTTTTTTCTCCTGTAGCTTGTCAGGAATTATGAATTATCATCGTTACGAGTTATGAAAAAGAGGCACTCACCAACCGATGATGACTCACTTATGAATAAGTGGGTACTCACCTATCAATGATGACTCACTTATGAATAAGTGGGTACTCACCTATCAATGATGACAGGATCTGAAGGAGTTTCGTTGCGGTTGCCGCAGCTTTTTTTGTCGCAGCATCGACTGCAAGATGAGGCGAAAAAATGTCAGTTTTTGGGGCCAATAAGAAAAAAAAATATATTTAGTTACTTGCAAATTAATGAAATTTGTCTTAATTCGTCTTTTTATAGAAAAAATCACGAATTAAGAAAGTAACGTAAAAGGAGCAAAAATTATTGCAAATCGTTTCAAGAATAGCTCAAAATTGTTCGTAAAATAAAGATTGTTTTGCTTTTATAAAAATGAATGGCTTTGGATTCGCAGACTGAAAAAGAAACACTTGAAGGATGAAAAAAATTAAATTCGTCTATTCCATCATATACATCAAATATATTCTTTCATGCCAATTAATTTGAAGAGCTAAAATGGTTCCAAGATTTGGAATATCGAAAATGATACTAAATAAATAGTTAATCATATTCCTCATTCCTTTTGATTCATGTTCATATTCCTTAGCAGATAAATTATTGTATGTGATATATCATGCTTCTATCTTAGTATACATTTAAATAACAATATAATGAGCTACCCTCAGCATTTATTATCAATTTGAGGGAATGAAACTGGATGATAAATATGATAAATTCTCAAGTAATTTTGCTATACTTAGTATGATAATCAACACTATTCCCCCATTACACAGCATCTACACAGCACACATGTGTTCATACACTGCAACGCACTCAGCCAACTTTACATGGGTTGTAGTACATGAATATTTAAATAAAAGTTTTCGTGCATAGACAGTCATTTGAAACACAGCCTAATTCCCTGTTATATATCAATTGTATTAGGCAGTTCAGTTCTATGAACAAATATACAGACTATACAGATATTCAGACAACACAGACCCGGAGGCAACGAACAATACAATATGCACGTCTATAATTGTGCAAAACACCGCAAAATTGCACATTTTATACATATATAATCCATAATCTTATCTACATTTACAATCTATATTGAAGACATGTACATCAAGAAGTCTTGTTCTATCAACACATATTCAGACTGCACAAATATTCAGACAACACACAGCCTGAGGCGGCGGGCAGACGGCGGGCGGCGGCTAAGCACACAGCGTCAGATGGCGGGCCGCCGCTTGATTATTGAGCTTTATTGAGAGATTGCATGTAAACTACACTCAGAGAAATCAAGGAGAGTTTCTTCAAGCAGAAATGAACGTTTTTCACATGTGTGGGTCATCCTGACCCAGTTTGGTCATGCAAAAAATGCATCAGTGTTCTACGTCCGCTCTCTGATCATAATACGGGGAGTTAGAACGTGTGTCACAATTTGGACAATGCAATCCATTAATTTTTCTGATTGCAGATTTTATTGAGTGATTACATATGAATCATCTGTTCTTATTTTATTTTTATAATTAAATTAAAATAAAAAGAGATTATTTTATCGCTATCCGGTCTTGCGGAACGGTAAAACTTCTCGTACTTATTCATCAGCATGAAAATTTCTGAAATACGATTTTGGTCCAGGATTTATGAATGCACGGAGGCTACGAATGCACGGAGGCTACGATTGTACGAAAGTTATGAATTCACGGAGGCTACGAATGCACGGAGGTTGAGAATGCACGGAGGTTACGAATGCACGGCAGTTACGCATGCATGGCAGTTATGAATGCACGGGAGTTACGCATGCACGGCAGTTACGAATGCACGGAGGTTACGCATGCACGGCAGTTACGCATGCACGGCAGTTACGCATGCATGGCAGTTACGCATGCACGGCAGTTACGCATGCACGGCAGTTACGCATGCACGGCAGTTACGCATGCACGGCAGTTACG